TCAAGCCAGAATGAGACTTGAAAAATGGTTAGAAGATGATAAAGTAGCTACGACTACTATGTTGAGCTTTAGGGAAGATGATTTAATTAGAGTCTTTAAAGATTACACCACAACTCAAAGTATGATAGGCACCCTATCTGAAAAGTATGTGACCACTTTCTGATAATCATGTACAATTGTTGTTAGAAAAATACAATTCTTACAGAATGAAAGAAACGGACTCAGTGATCGAGCATGTCAATAAAATGACAGTGCTTGCAAATGAACTTGCTACAGCTGGGAACCCAGTTTTCGATCGCATGCAAGTATCTATTGTTCTTCACAGTCTCCGTCCATCTTGGGAGTCTGTTGTAATTGTATTGAACCATTCTGCACAAGGGATAACCATGTTAAATCTTCCCATGCATCTTAGTATTGAAGCTGAGACAAGAATGAGGAAGAAGTCAAATGAACGCCACTTTGCCCAAAGTTCATCTTCTCAGATCCTCAAGAAACCTTTCAATTATCAAAAAAATACTAGGTATAAGAGAATGAGGAGAAATTTTAAAAATAAAAAAAATAAAGTTGATAAAATCTGTTTTTATTGTAAGGAAATTGGGCATATCAAGTTTAATTGTCCTAAGCTGAAAAATAAAAATATGAAACAAAATAACAACCTTGAAATAATCAAAATAAGAGAAATGACTTGATCTGCGTAGTTCTTGAAACAATAGTTGCCGATCATGACCTGAGAAATTGGTGGGTCAACTCAACCTCCACTCGACATGTCTCGAGGACCAAGGATGGATTCACAGAATTGAAAGAGATTGCAGCCGGTAACCAGCGGATTTATATGGGAAATGACACCTACTGCGATATACTAGGTGTTGGTACTTTCAAGCTGTGTTTACCAAGATGAACAAATCTCTTATTGACTGATACATTATATGCGCTTAATATGACGTGCAATTTGATTTCTATTTCAAGGCTAGACGACAAGGGTTATGAAATAGGGTTCAGGTTTGGTCGGGTTACCATTGGGAAGTATTCTAAAGCTTCGGTGTATAATACTCAAGTTGACAATTTGTACCGACGGAATATTAATGAAAGTTCATCAGTTTTTGGGTATATTGATGCTTCTTTTGAAGCTTTTATGTGTATGGATGATCCATATTTATGGTACTTAAGATTATGACATATAAATAAAGACAAAATGAATCAAATGGTTAAAAGATGCTTGCTTCCCAATTTATGAGAAATTGTATTCAAAACATGTGAGTCATATATTTTTGGTCAATTAACTAAGAATCATTTTCCTAAAGGGAAAAGGTCTAGTGAACTACTTAGTATTGTTCACTTTGATATATGTGGCCCATTAAATGTGAAAACACATAGAGGTATGGAATATTTCATAACATTTATAGACGATTATTCACGTTATGGATATATATACCTAATTAGTAAGAAATCAGATGCATTAGAAACATTTAAAGAATATAAAGTTGAGGTAGAAAATCAGTTAGGTAGACATATTAAAATTCTTCAAACAGATAGGGAAGGTGAATATTGTTCCGCATTATTTTCTGAATTTTGTAAGGAGCATGGTATAATTCACCAAACAACTATGCCATATACACCACAACAAAATGGTGTAGCTGAAAGGAGAAATAGAACTCTAATGGATATGGTTAGGTCCATGATGAGCCATTCAAATTTATCACCTCATTTTGGGGTAAGGCTCTCAACACTGTAATATATTTCATGAATCATGTTCCAACTAAATCTATAGACTTGACCCCATATGAATTATGGACAGGTAGGAAACCTGACCTTATTATCTTGAAAGTTTGGGGTTCTTGGGCACATGTGTTTATACCACCACAAAATAGAAATAAATTACAAAGTAAAACTATAAAATGCTCGTTTATAGGCTATTCAGAAAAATCTAAAGTGTATAAATTCTATAACCATGATACTAGATCATTAGTAGAGAGTTGTGATGCTCATTTCTTAAAAAATATAGATGATGAAAAAATTTTAAATAAGCCAATTAACTTACATGAAATTGATAAAGATAAGGGTCTGGAAGACCCTGTTTCTTAGACTCCCTCTACATTTGGTGAGAATGATTCAATTGAATCAAGTATACCAGATAGGCCTAAAAAAACTAAAGCCCCACCTATGACTTTAGAAGAATTTTATGTATTTATGAATGAAGATAATTACTCTTCAATGAGTGAGGATACAATAGATGAACCTCGTAGCTATAGTGAAGCTATTAGCTCACATGACTCAGCTGAGTAGACTCAAGCCATGGATGATAAACTTGATTATATTAAAAGAAATCAAGTCTGGGAGTTGGTTGACCTCCCTAAAGATAGAAAAGCCATCGGTTGCAAATGGATCATAAAGAAAAAGCTTAATGCAAATGAATCCATTGATAAATATAAAGCTAGGTTGGTAGCTAAAGGATTTACCCAACGGGAAGGTATAGATTATATAGAAACTTATTCTTTAGTAGCAAAATTATCATCTATTAGGATCATCCTTGCATTAGTTACATATTATGATCTAGAATTATTTCAGATGGATGTCAAAACAGTTTTCTTAAATGGAGAATTAAAAAAAAATATATACACGAAACAACTAGAAGGATATATAATTAAAGGCTAAGAAGACAAAATATATAAACTTAGGAAATCTTTATATGGTCTAAAACAATCTTTTAGACAATGATACTTTACTTTTCATAATGTAATCAATGAAATTGGTTATATAGCCAACAGGTTAGACCATTGTGTATATATCTAGAATAGTGGGAGCAATTTTGTTATATTGTCACTATATGTGGATGATATTTTGATAGCCGGTAATGATATTGGCATGATTATCTATACCAAATCATGGCTAAGTTCCCATTTTGAGATGAAAGATATGGGAAAAGCCTCATATGTATTGGGCATTAAGATAACAAGAGATAGAAAATTCAATACTTCTATGTTTATCTTAAAAAAATTATTTAGAAAATGTTTTAAAGATATTTAAGATGGAAAATTACAAGCGTATAGATACACCTGTTTGCATAGGCTTAAAATCATCAAAGAAAATGTATCCATTAAATGATGGTGACAAAGCTAAAATGGAAAAAATTCCATATGCTCTAGCTGTAGGATGCATAAATTATCCCATGTTGTGTACAAGACCTTATTTGAGTCATGCATATGGTCTTGTAAGTAGATTCAGAGTAATTTTGGGATGGCTCATTAGTAAGCTGTAAAAAAGATACTCAGATATATTCAGAAAACTAAAAATTACAAGTTGTGGTTCCAAGCTGACAACTTAGAGGTTTCTGGATACTCTGATGCAGATGTTGTAGGAGACCCAGATGATAGAAAATCAACCTCAAGAGTTGTATTCCTCTTTGATGGTGGATGTATTTCTTGGTCTAATAAGAAACAAGGTTATGTAGCTCGGTATACTATGAAAGCCGAATATATTGCTTGTAGCATTGCTACAACTTATGCCGTCTGGATTAAACGCTTCATAAATTATTTGAAGCTGGATATAGCCGACGGACCTGGTAAAATTTTTTGTGTAATCAGGCTGCTATTTCATCAATTAGAAATAGAGCTTATGGTTCCAAGGGTAAGCACATTGAAATTGATTATCATTATATTTATGATATTATTGGAAAGAATGAAATAACTGTAAGTTATTTGCCATCTTCAGATATGATTGCTGACCCTTTAACAAAGGGAGTGAGTGCAAAAATATTATCAAAACATGAAGTTTTGATGGGACTTGAAACTATTTAAGTCAGGAACTCCCAAATGAGATATTTTTTGATGTTTTGGTCATAAGAGGAAAAACTGCATTAGCGTGAAAAACTATGATATGACTTTGGATATTTTTTGTTATGAGATGTATAATCGCACTTGCTTGAAAGTCTTATGACAAAAATATGCACATAAATGTTAAATTCATTAAGTGGTAAAGACTTTATGATATTTCAATATATCTGACACTCATGGCCAAGTGGGAGATGTTAGTATGTGTGTGGCCATGGGGCCTTTTAAACGTACAATATTTTTCTCTCTTATAATTTAATGCTTATCACTAAAAAAGAGAGGCTTCTTAGAGAGAAAGTGTCATTATTTAACGGCTAGAAAGTAACCACCCACTTCTCAGGATTATAGAGCCACGTTTTCTTAGAAATTTGAGGAGGAAGCCGAACGTTAGAGAACGGCCTCCTCCATCTCTCTTTAAGAAGGGTTTCATGGCCATAAAAAAGTACACAGAAATTTACAGAGTTTTTACCGTTATAGTAATAGCCTGATCTTTGCGATCGATAGTCTAAAGACACTGCCTTTAATCCTAAGAGGGGGTCTATTCTTCCCCCCAAGGATTTTCATCAACGGAGGGGTATTTTAGTTTTTTTTTGTTAGGGATAAGGTTCGGTAAATTGCTTAGAAGCTCCATTTTTTAGGATTTTATACAATTTTCCCTTATATTATTACGGATATGTTTCAAAGTCTAGGGGACCACGCTGAATCATTTTAATGTCGGGTTGCTTTCGTGAGGGGGTCAGTATTAATATGAAAAGGATGTGGTTTACGATACACTTTCAAATAGTATATCCTAACTGGTCTGAAAATTTATTTTAATATATAATTATAAAATTTGATGATTAAACAGCATCGAAACAATCCTTTCTAATGAATTTTCAAGGCGCGCCTTAACCTCATTGTCGATTCATGGATCAGTTGAGGATTTAAAAGATCAAACAGCCTGCTCGAGTTGACACAATCTGAGAAAATGGGATTCTCAAAGAGTCTACAAGGTAGTTGGCTCTTTCCGTTTTCTCTTCTTCTTCTCCGTGGTTATTCATTGCTTTCCATGGTTCTGAAACTCTGCCGAGAGGGGCCTCGGTCAGTAACTCGAGTTTAAGACGAGTTGGTTGTACAACAATTTTATAAACTATATTTATATTTATATGTAGCATTTAAGACTCTGGTTAGTGTTTACGTGTAAGATTTCTCAGATTTCTTATGGTCAGGGTTCGGGCCATCACGAATCTAACCCTTTGATTTGCATGTCTCTTTACTCCTGGTTGTACATATACGTGACTTGTTTGTTTTCTAGTTGTTCTTGTTCTTGGTTCTTCTCCTTTCTTCCTCTCCCTCTCTCACACATCCACACACTCCTCATCAGTTCATTGTGAAATATTCACTCATAGTGTTTGACATGTACAGCTTTATGGAGCTTTTATCATTTGCAAAATTGAAAATAGATAATAGAGAAGACAAAGAGAGTAAAAATATGAATTGTGAAACCTTCTTTCTCTCTCAAGAATTTCCTTCTACAACTTGAATCCACGGACTCAACACAACAATTACCTACTTGGTGACTTTGGCCTTCAATCCTTGGATTGCTTTATTTCCTGCTTTTGGATTTCTTCTCTTGCAGTTTCTTTGATCATGGGGTTCAGTGAGTATTTGAGTCTATGTCTCTTTTAACTTATTTGATCAAATTGCCTTTTGTGTAATTCAAGTACTTTATATCCAGGATGCATTTTATTGATATGCGATTAATTTTGATATTTTACATTTTAATTGATATACATTTTACAATGTTATGATTCTTCATTCTTGGCATGTAATTCTATTTTCTCTTTTCCTTTTTTTTGCTGTTATCTTTCTTCATCCTCTTTTTTTGCTGTTAAAATAATTGGTTGGTATGTTTGAATTTCATTTTACACTTCTCTTGTTTTAATTGAAATTCTTTTTCTCTTCCATTTTTAGACCTTAATCGAGGAACTGTTTTGGCTGAGGCTAGATTTTGGGACAAAATTTATTTCCAGAATACGATTTTCAGATTGATATAAAGTTGGACAGAGTGCTGAATGCTGGATTTTCTGCTGAATTATGAGTTTGTAATATAAAAAATGAGGCAATTCTAGTAAAAAACAATGTAAAGTATTTATTGGGGCATGGCTTGTGAGGGTGGTGGAGCCACAACATTATGTCTCGGTTCCATTCCTACCTCGTATGCAGATAAATTATCCAAAAAAATGATAAGAATTCAATGTAAACATATTGGATTGATTTCCAATATCAGCGGAAAATTGCAGAATTCCAAAAGCTATCATGGGTTTGAACTTTCATTTTAGAGAACTTTCCATGGTTTATTTTGAACTTTCATTTTAGAGAACTTTCCGTGGTTTATTTTATTTTTAGTTTCATACTAGCACTCTAATGATACACTATAAAGGAATTTAGATTGGGAAGGGATGATGCCTGGCAATATAATTGTGGGATTTTTATTTCCTTTTGTCTGACATATCCACTTGGATCTTTAGTTTCTATTCTGGAGCGTTTAGATATTCAATTGATGACTTAACTATTTCTTTGTTCTCTTTGGTATATGCAGAGAGACTTTCATGGATATGTGGGGTGGAACTCAAATCAGGTTCAACATGTGTTCTAAGTGGTGTAATAGATGGTTTAAATATATTCTTCCTCATTCTTTTCTTTCTGGTTTTGATAGTTTCTAGCCTCAGGAATCACACAATCCATTTAGAAACACACAGATCAGGGTTATTCATTATCATTTCAGTATTTTGTGCTACTGTTGGTGTTGTATGTTTTGCTGATGGCTTATGGATTCTTCTATGGAAACCTGAGAGCTCCTTGTTTTGGAGTTGGACTCTTTATTTTGTGAGGGGATTAGTTTGGATAGCTTTATCAGTCTCTCTTATCATTCGGAAGTTCAAATGGGTGAAAATCCTGAGTTTGGTTTGGTGGGTCTTCTTCTCTCTCCTTGTATCTGCCTTAAACATTAAGCTCTTAGTGAGTGCACATTCACTTAAGATCCTAGACTTGGTATCTTGGCCCATAAGCTTGTTGCTTCTTTTCTGTGCATTAAAACTTCTTGGAGTTCTTTTCTCTCATCACACAGAAACAAAAGATTTGTCCCAATCTCTATTGAATAAACATGGCAGAAAAGCAATAGAACCATGTAACACAAGAAGGTTCTTAAGTTCCCTCACATTTTCTTGGGTCAATCCTTTACTACGATTGGGCTACACCAAACCTTTAAACATTGATGACGTTCCACCTTTAGCAATAGAAGACAAGGCTCTTCTGGCCTATGAGGCCTTCTCTAAGGCCTGGGAAGTCCGTAGAGAAAGAGGGGATACCGACAATTTGGTCTTCAAAGCTTTGAGTGATTGTTACTCTAAAGAGATGGTGTTCACTGGTATCTATGCATTTCTTAGAGCAGTCTCAACTTCGGTTTGTCCATTGTTACTATATTCATTTGTGAAATTTATGGGCCATGAGAAGCGCGAATTGTACAAAGGATTCTTATTAGTAGGAACATTAGGAATCTTGAAGGTCGTAGAATCTCTCTCTCAAAGGCATTGGTATTTTGGGTCTAGGAGGACAGGTATGAAGATGAGATCAGCTATAATGGCAGCTATCTATAGTAAGCAGCTTAAGCTCTCTAGTTTGGGAAGGAGGAGACATTCAACAGGGGAAATTGTGAACTATATTGGTGTTGATTGTTATCGGCTTGGGGAATTTCCATGGTGGTTACACACAGCTTGGAGCTCCCTTCTTCAGCTGATCTTTGCCGTACTAGTTCTCTTTCTAATTGTTGGCTGGAGTGCTCTTCCTGGCTTGGTTCCAATCATAATTCTCTCTTTGTTAAACATTCCCATTGCTAAGATACTTCAAAACTGCCAGACCCAATTTATGAACGCCCAAGACGAGAGGCTTCGGGCCACTTCAGAGGTCCTAAACAACATGAAGATCATCAAGTTGCAGGCTTGGGAGGAGAAATTCAAGGGTCGCATTCTCTCTATGAGAGAGAATGAATTCAAATGGTTAACTTCTGCCCAGATGAAGAAGACCTTTGGAATTCTGTTCTTTTGGATGGCACCTGTGTTTGTTTCTTCTGTGATATTTGCAAGCTGTGCCATTATGGGGACTGCTGCTTTGAATGCTAGCACAATTTTCACTGTTTTGGCTGCACTGAGGGTTATGTGCGAACCTGTAAGGTTGCTCCCTGAGGCCTTCACTGTTATAATTCAGGTGATGATTTCAATGCATCGGATTGGCCGTTTCTTGTTGGAGGATGAGTTAAAGATGGAGAATATCAGAAGGTGTCATTTTAATGGTTCTGATTACGATGTGAAGATAACTGATGGAATTTTCAGTTGGAACCCCTATGAAAACATTCCTACACTAAGGGATGTTAACTTGGAAATAACAAGAGGGAGCAAAGTAGCAGTTTGTGGCCCTGTTGGTTCAGGAAAATCTGCACTTCTATATGCCATGCTTGGCGAGATACCGAATGTCTCTGGATCAGTGAGTTTGTTATTAGTAGTTTGGAACTATGCTATAATCCTCAAAAGCCATGTTCCTCAGGGTTAGCACAGCCAAATGATGATGGATGGTTGTCGTGAGAGAGTAAGACTGATTGGAATCAGGCGACCCAAATGGTGGGTCCTGCTCTCTCCATAGCCATCCATCACTTCACTAGAAGGTGATGGCCCTTTTCATTGTCCACCGGATTGTAATATACTTTCCTCCCCATTTTTTATTTATCGTATGTTAATATTTGGACATTCATAAGCCCATTAGATTAATTTTGGCAAACAATTGTTTTTGCAATTAATGACTTGTAATGGCCCATGCATGCAAGAAGGCCAAACCAATAGTGTGTACGCACACATGCATGCGCTTTCATGTGCACATATGTGTTTAAGCTGGATGAAATTCAAAGTCAATGAAAAACATGGAGCAGTAGATAGGTAGACAGATTACTGTTATCATGCACAAGCAAAACAAATAAAATATTTTCAGTGATCCAAAAACTATAGTTGAGTATTGGATGCATGTACGATAACAATTAATTGTTGGCCCACACTTTTTATCTGTGTAGGCTCAAATCAATGGTTCTGTTGCTTATGTTGCCCAAACAGCTTGGATACAGAGCGGGACAATTCGTGATAATATACTCTATGGGAAACCAATGGACAAGACCAGTTATTATAAGGCCATAGGAGCTTGTGCCTTGGACAAGGATCTGAACAATTTTGAACATGGTGATCTCACAATAATTGGAGAGAGGGGACTCAATTTGAGTGGTGGTCAGAAACAAAGACTTCAGCTTGCTAGAGCTGTCTACAATGATGCTGATGTCTACCTTCTTGACGACCCTTTTAGTGCTGTTGATGCACACACGGCTGCCATCCTTTTTAATGTAAGGAAACAATGTGCTCATTCAATTTCTTTTTATCCCTATTCTTTATATTTCACTAATTTTGTTTTTTTTTTGGTATGTTGTAGAGAGTAGGAGTGAGAGGATTAGAGTAGGGATTACAAGATGGTGGTGATTGTATTGTGTTTTCCTTAGTCTTCGAATGAACTTTGAATAGGCAATGTATGTACAACATAGTTTTAGTCATTTTACCTTTATAAGTAACATTACAAGTTTACAACTGAGGCTCCTTACACATTGCAACCTAAAGAATATAAGAAATAAAGTATGGGTGCAGTTTGTATAGAGCCGAGGCTCTAAACAGCCAAAATAGAGCGCACTTTCAAATAGTGTCTAGAAATGTGGTTTCAATACTGGAAATCTTTGTGATTGCCTTAAAAATATATTTTCATCACTAATTATAAAATTTAAATCTTCAATAATGTAGATCGAGCATATCTAAGAAATCTTGAAAATCTTAAAAATTGACTGTCCAAAAATACATTACAAGATGCACTATTTCCAAAAATTGAAATCTTTTTTTTCTCATGTCCATGCATCTTGATGTTGAGATGATAAATTTGAGGATATTTGGGCATCAAAAGAACCTCTTCTAGTGAAAATTTTGAGGTGCGCCCTAATTTGATTGTTTAGAGCCTCACATTTATATAAACTTTTTCCATAAAGTATACACAAACACCTACATGGTAAATGAATGATATTACAAATTTTTCTACCCTCCAATATTAGGAACACTAAAATAGCAACCAAGAATTATGAAAATTAAATTGATAAGTTGGCTAGACTGAAGCATTAATATGCAACCATTTTGGGAGATGCGTAGGAGATAGGAGATGCTTGACCTTCTTAGTTTTTCTCTCTTGCATTCTGTTTCCAGTCATATGCTTTCTATGGTGACTTGAAGGCTAAAATAATGCATATTTGCAGGACTGTGTGAAATCGGCCCTGTCAAAGAAAACTGTTGTTCTTGTGACTCATCAGGTTGAATTTCTGGCGGCGGTTGACGAAATTCTGGTAATCAAGACTTCCAACAAGACTCTAAATATACTAAGTATTTGTGGACTGAGATAATGTTACAAAACTAACTTTTGTTTGTGACTGCTTAAGGTTTTAGAAGGTGGGCGTATCACACAATCAGGGAGCTATGGAGGGCTGTTGAGGACTGGCATGATGTTTGAGAAGCTTGTTAATGCTCACCAAGAAGCCATGACAGCATTGGATCAACCTCCAAACCTGGGACATTTGATTGAATCTTGTAAAATTAATAGTGGGTTGCAGCCCGAGAAAGGAAAAGATGAAGGGGAAATTTCACTGAAGGGGCTGTCTTCTAACCAGCTGATACAAGATGAAGAGAAGGAGATTGGTGATGTGGGTTTGAAACCGTTTGTTGATTATATAAGTATTGCAAGGGGATGGGTTCTTCTTTCTTCAGTTATACTAGTTCAATGTGTGTTTCTTCTATTGCAAACATTATCAACTTACTGGTTGGCAGTGGCCGTTCTTATTCCTCAGATCAGCAGTAGAGTTTTTATTGGAGTATACTCTGCAATGTCAATGAGCAGTTTAGTTTTTATTTACCTGAGGTCCTTCTTTACGGCCCTTCTTGGTCTAAGGGCTTCGAAATCCTTCTTCTCTGGTTTCATGGATTCAATATTCAATGCTCCAATGTCATTTTTCGATTCCACACCTGTAGGCCGGATCTTGACCAGGGTAAAGATTCCCTATGCTTGTGGTTCCCTGATAAACAATGCCCTTTGATTTTTCAATTTGTAATGCCATAAAATTTTTTTTAATGAACTTATCAACGGAAACTTTGAGTTGCAGGCATCCTCTGATATGAGCTTGGTAGACTTTGACATCCCATATTCCATCAATTTTTCTTTGGTTCCAATGCTCGAGATTGTCTCAATTCTGATCGTCATGTGCACTGTGACATGGCAAGTTCTTGTCATGGCAGTTCCCGTTATGTTAATTACGTTCTATATTCAGGTAAAAGCTTTTGTTGTTTATTTGTGTGAGTGTGATCACCATCTGTTGAAATCATGGATGGTAATGGCGAGAGTGTGATCCACCAGACAGGACTTCAGCGAAAGGTGGGTCCTGCCTCTCTCCATTACTGTTCATTAATTCGTTGTATGGTGATGATCCAATTGACTATGGTCTTCCCATGAACGATAGACTATGGTTCCATAGTCCATTTGATCCTGGTCTACTTCCATTTATTTATGCAGGAGTTTGCATGATCCATACCACATCATTGATTTATTGAGAAGAAAATACAGGGCTTTTTCTAAGACATCTTTGATTTCATTGTCGGCTAATAAAAGTACCAGACAGTAAGATACAAACACTGATGCAACCCAATTATTATAGAACAAGTGATAGTAATTATTTAAATCTTGGTTGCATTGGCTTCTTTTTGTTCAATCTTCTGTTCAAATATGTAAACCTATTACTGTATCCGAGAGATCCTTTCTAATCCAAGTTTGTTGATTATGTTCAAGGGGTACTATCTAGCGTCAGTGAGGGAATTAGTGAGAATTAATGGGACAACAAGGGCCCCCATTTTGAACTGCACTGCCGAGACATCGCTTGGGGTAGTCACCATTAGGGCTTTTGCTATGCTAGAAAGGTTCATTCAGCACAATCTTAATCTTATAGACACAGACGCAAGGCTCTTCTTTTATTCAAATGTGGCCATGGAGTGGTTGCTTCTGAGGGTGGAGGCTCTGCAAAATATCATTTTATTCACTGCTACAATTTTCCTTGTTTTTCTCCATCCAAGTACCATAAGTCCTGGTATGTTTTCCAGTAAACCTTTGGATTTCTATCATTGCTTGACTGCTGCTATTGTGAAGTGATACTGTAATGCAGTAGACCCGGGGAAACCTTGAACAACTGGGGTTGTGATGGTCTACTGAAATGGTGGATGGTGGTGGAGAAAGTGAGTGGTATCCACCATTGGGCTCATTTCATGTTATGGATGGTCCCACACTCTCTCCCTTCACAGTTTGATGGTGATGACGCCCATAGAATGTAGTATCTTAGTGTCCATTTTCCTGTTTTTCTCTTTACTATGGAGTAGCTAAGTTTCCATTTTCAACTTGCAAATGTGGGTATTCTGTCTGTGTTGTTAAAAATCTTAGACAACCTTATATAACTTTGCTTCCTTCCTCAATTTTATCTGGTTGTGATAGATCCCAGAAGATTTACTTCATCTAATAGTTTATTTGTTGGTGAATGGCTGGTTTGCACAGGATTTGTGGGCTTGTCACTCTCTTATGCCCTGAGCATGAGTGCTTGCCAAATATTTACAACTCGGTGGCAATGCACACTTGCCAACTATATCATCTCGGTTGAACGCATAAAGCAATTCATGACCCTTCTTTCCGAACCACCTGCAATCATTAATGAGAACAGGCCACCAGCTTCTTGGCCTGTCAAAGGGAGGATTGATTTACTGGACTTGAAGGTAATGAAAGTCACTGAAGAACCTAGAAACCCAAATATTAACAACTAAAAAGATCCAATTTCCATTGTTTTACCCTTAGACAACCATAAATCAAAAAAGGCAAAGAGGAAAAATGAAAACCTTTCTAAGAAGTTCCAATGGTCATTATTGTCATCATAAACTCTATGGAACCTTCTTTCCTTTTTTTTTTTTAGTTTCTAATCTATTAGTGTTCTTCCTTTGCTTTTTCACTTTCAGATAAAGTATAGACCAAATTCTCCACTAGTTCTCAAAGGGATCACGTGCACATTTGAAGAAGGCAAGAGAGTGGGAGTTGTTGGAAGAACGGGTAGTGGAAAAACAACATTGATAAGTGCCTTGTTCCGTCTGGTTGAACCAGCTAGTGGAAAGATCCTCATAGATGGACTGGACATTTGCTCAATTGGTCTTAGGGATGTTCGGACTAATCTTAGTATCATACCCCAAGAGCCTACTCTTTTCAAGGGTACTGTAAGAAGTAACTTGGATCCTCTGGGCCTATACAGTGACCATGAGATATGGGAGGTGAATTGAATCATTTCTTGATTCGTGCCCCTATAATAACTGTTGAACTTCTTGGTTCAAGATGGTTGATTTGACCTTTTCTCGTTTATAAATCAAACTATATGGGTAAAATAAGATAAGCCATAGTGACGTCTATATGTGATTCTTTGCAGGCCATAGAGAAGTGCGAATTGATGAGCACCATCCGGAGCCTTCCCGACCTTCTTGATTCTTCTGGTTTGTTTAATGTTGTTGGTTATCTCTGTTTGATGTGCTAGTTTGAATTTCAGAACATTTGAACTTTTATTCATGCAAAGATAAGAAAAAGAAAAACATTTCAACCAGAATTGTTGATTCTGCACTATGCTTTGGATATTGACAGTTAGCGATGAAGGAGAGAATTGGAGCGCAGGTCAGCGCCAGCTTTTTTGCCTTGGTCGAGTCTTGCTTAGGAGGAACAAAATATTGGTTCTTGATGAAGCAACTGCATCCATAGACACCACAACAGATGCTCTCCTCCAAAAGGTCATCAGAAAGGAATTCCCAAATTGTACCATCATAACTGTCGCACACAGAGTTCCAACAGTTACAGATAGTGATATGGTGATGGTTCTTTATAACGGTACTCTTTCCTCGACCATCCTCAGTAGCGTTTTTCTTGTATATATAAGATACACAAAATTATCTTAGGAATGGGCTCAAGATTGGGTGGTCAG